TAGAGCACCCCCACCCCTTAGAGCTCCCCCACCCTTAGAGCGCCCCCACCAACTTTTATGGCAAAGTGACCCCCTTGCATGGGTGGACTGGTGCTTATGCAGTAGGCCAGGCCGCTCTCAGAGTGTAGCTAACGGTGTTTCTGGCTCTGACCCCGGATCTCTCCCAGGTCTTCATCTGCAGTGACTCCATAGAGGCTCGTCAGCTGATCATGGAGTTGGCTCGCCGGCTGAACTTCCAGCCCGTGGACATGGGCCCCCTGTCTCTGTCCCGCTACATCGAGAACATCCCTGTTCAGTTATTCCCTGCCTGGAAGGGACCCGTCCTCGCTGCCGTGGCCCTCTCCATCTTCTTTTTTGGTTATTCCTTTGTACGGGACATCATCCAGCCGTATGTGAAGCATAAGCAGAGCGACTTCTACAAGATCCCAGTAGAGATAGTGAACCACACCCTCCCCACCGTGGCCGTTACGCTCCTGGCCCTGGTGTACCTGGCCGGCCAGCTGGCGGCGGCGCACCAGCTATACTACGGGACCAAGTATAAGCAGTTCCCTCATTGGCTGGAGGGCTGGCTGCAGAGCAGGAAGCAGTTAGGTCTGATCAGCTTTTTCCTGGCTGCTGTTCATGTGCTCTACAGCCTCTGTCTACCGCTGAGAAGGTCTGAGAGGTACCAGCTGCTCAACGCCGCCTACCAGCAGGTAAGATGACCGCCATGACGTGTTAGGGTTCCACCAGAGGGAGACGATAGAGCCAGACCGCACAATCAGAGTTCTGATGCTCCAGGTGTGGACAGACCGGACTGGGTGACCTTTAGATGACCTTAGGGAGGATTTAGAGCTTCTATGTCAGCTGTTCATCCAGAACGTCTTCACTTCTTTTCCAGCCTGATTCCAAGTGGATTTAAATCCGGTGTCAGGGCTGGCTGGTGTTTGTTGACGACCGAGATGCAGGATTAATGAGGAATTACAGAAGCAAATAATTCAGAAACGACAGGCAATGAACTCAGGAATCAAAAACCAGGAGACGCTCAGGACAATATAACATAAGGAATAAAGGAAGGAAGAGAATCCAGCAACCAGGAAGTGAACAGGAAGTGAATGTATGGGAGACAGAACAAAGACTGGGCTAACCGGCTAACGGGGGGCAGGTGTGGATAGAAGCAGCTAGAAGGGAGCCAGAGGAAAGGAGACAAGGGGGCGACAGAGAGTAACTCAGAAAATACAGCACAGCATAAATATAATTAGAGAACTAGAAGACATCAGATGGAACAGAAACCAGCGACCAAGAAAAGACAGAATGGAATCAAAGTGAAACTGAAACAGAAGCAGGAAGGCCAGAATGAGGATCATGTTAGTGAGACATGCTTTATGACACAGCTTCAAAGTACAGATAGAAAAGTATGAAATCCCATTTCCATAAGTATTCCTGCCCCTGGTCCGACCCCCGGTCTGCCTCCAGCTTAGCTCTCTCCAGATGTTGGGTCAGATTCTGCTCTGGTTCTGGTCCCGTCCTTGGAGACCATTGCCCACTCAGAGCTTCATCTATCCAGACCAGTCTGCTGGAAAACATGCCACAGCCTGATGCTGCCACCACCATGCTCCACTGCAGGGATGGTACGGCTTTGGTGAGGAGGTGCCTGGCCTCCTGTTGGCTGTTTCCTCTCTGACATCACGCTCAGCTGTAGGACCTTCTATGGCCGTTCCTGATCACTTCCAGTCAGAGGAACCTTCTACAGGCGGATCCAGCTTCATGATAAAGGGTGTGAATACTTATGGAAATGGCATTTACCTTCCTTCCTGTTGCCAAAATGGGGCTTAGAGATTTCCTCCATGTTTGGAGGAGAACGGTGGAGATCTTCCTCCAGCTACAGACAGTTTGACTGCCTGTAGGAATGAAATCATTAAATCTCCAGTTAGTGGGAAGGAGAAAGGAGGAGGAGTTCCTCCTGGTCAGGTCCTCTGTCTGCTCCGAGGCGTCCAGCCTGCAGAGCCAGAAATAAAGGCCTCCCGCTGTCCCCACAGATTCACGCTAACGTGGAGAACTCGTGGAATGAGGAGGAGGTGTGGCGCGTGGAGATGTACGTCTCCTTTGGGGTGATGAGTTTTGGCCTGATGTCCCTCCTGGCCATCACCTCCATCCCCTCCATCAGCAGCGCCCTCAACTGGCGGGAGTTCAGCTTCATCCAGGTACAAACCAAAGGTTCGCAGTTGGTTTGCGAATGATCCCCTCGTTATCTGTATGCAGAGGGCGGGTCCGCAGCAGAGCCAATTAGTGAGGCGAGCAGCAGGACTTGGACGACATCTGATCTCCGCCTCTCCTATGAATGAACTTCAAAAACTAATTTAGTTTAAATTCACTCTAGATCACAGATGTGGCTGTGAGCTAGAGTGAAGGAGCAGTGGAAAACAGCTAATTTTATAAAAACGGAGGATAGAGAAAATAATGAAGGATGAAAAACATTTATTGTGTCTTTTTAAAAAGCCGTTTTAATTTAGCCGTAGAGGGACTGTTTAGTCGTTTTGCCTCCAGCTCAGATGCCTTCCATCCTCTGCTCCGCCGCTGTCTGCCCAGTCAGCCTGTGCTGATCCTCCACTGATCTCCTCACATCTCCTGCATGAAGCCTCTAGAGCAGGGGTGGGCAATTCCAGTTCCTGGGGGCCGGTATCCTGCAACTTTTAGATCCATCCTTGCTCCAACACACCTGAATTAAATGGCTC